GCCCTGCGTGGGCTGCGGTACTGGATATTGACTGCCACAGGCAGAAATTAGAGAGTACACACAGGCTAATGTGCTTAAGAGTGGCCAGTGCATACCGCACTATCTCGAGAGACGCCGTCTGTGTCATAGCAGGGATGCTATGACGCGAGGACCGTTTGAGTGGTGCGCAACAACGCGCGAGTTGTGTCGACCGCGAGATGGCAATCGGAGTGGGAAAACTCCACAAAGGGGAGGTGGACTTACCGCTTGATACCTTCCGTATCAAGCTGGGTCAACAGGCGCCATGGGGAAGTAGACTTCCACCTGACACAGTTCCTGTCAGGCCATGGCTGCTTTAGGAGCTACCTGCATAGGTTCGGACATGCAAGTTCTCCCATCTGCCCCACATGTGCTGGTGTCGAGGAGACCGCCGAACACGTCGTGTTTGCCTGTCCACGTTTCGAGCCAGTATCGAGCGCTATGCTAGCGATATGCGGAGCGGATACCAGTCCGGATAACATCGTTCATAGGATGTGTGGTACCACCGAGAACTGGAGCGCTTTGGTGACTGCGGTCACCCACATATTTTCGGTATTACAACGACAGTGGTGAGCCGAGCAGCAGTTACCTACTGCCCGACCAGATCGTTAGAGTATTGCTAGAGAGGCACCATAGCGCTACAGCGGCCCCTCCCACGAAATAATGCCTTCGGGCGGTTCCGGGGAGGTCAAGGGCCAAGCGCACAGGATAAGGTTTAGTGAGTCGGGAGTGAAATTCTCCCATCCCCACACCCTGAGTTCCTTCTCAGGTGTCTGTGAGCAGATTCCCCCCTGTATAAAAAAAAAAAAAAAATGGTTGCTCATGTACAGGTAGCCTTTCGTTGTTTACTGGAGAACAATGTTCAACGCTACGCACCGAAAGCACTGCTGCTGCTGCTGATGCCGACGACCGGACACCACCACACACGGTGATTGGAACTGAATCCGATCAGCGGTTGAGGCCAGCCTTGATAGCTAGCTGCTTGCAGGGAGCCTTTCGTTGTGTACTAGAGAACACCACCACTCACCACGCGGTGATTGAAAAAACACCGTTTGGTGAGACTGGATGGATTTCAATTTTGAAATCTGTGTTAGGGAAATCGCTTTTCACAGGCAATTGGTGATAATTTTAATTATCATAGCAACAGTTGCACATTCGTGCAATTTTCAATAGTGACATTTTGAAAATTGATATAGTCTAAAATTTAACACATGCGTCGAAATATTTCTGATTGATTGGTTATAAAAGTATTGAAATTGTTCCAGGGGCAGCTGAGTTATGAACGTTCAAAATCTTTCATAATTTTGTTACATGTTCCATTCCTGGTTTTCACAAAGTGTACTCCCATATAGAAATCACAGACGTAGTCCTACGTCAAAAATTGGAAGATTTGAATGTCTAGGTTACGGAATTGGAAAAAAAATCAAAGTATTAGTGATTCTATCAACACCAATTGGACAGTTCTGGTCTCTTCGCAAATATTCTTCGTCGTATTTTACACGCTGATTTTTAATGAATCTTTGTAACACAAAATGGTTGCCAAATCAAGCTGTGATTTAAAGTGATTTTCAAATACAAATTCTTTACCCTCATCATTATTGGTCGTAAAAAAGTGACTTTAGTGACTACATTTTAAGAAATAGTGACTTTCGTGACTTTTGGATGAAAACAGTAGCTTGAAAATAGTGCCCTAGACACTAAAATGTGACATATTTACTTTCCAATCAATTTCAAAATACACAGGATCTTCTAGTGGCACTAATTTGTATTCATTAGAAGCAAAATCCGTTTACCTTTTGAAAGTTGTTGAACAGGTAGATTGAGGTTAGGGTGATGCCACTGAAGAAATAAAAAATCTACTAAAATCATTTTCGAAAAATTGTTTACATTCACTTCTAAATACATATAGGGGAAATGGATTTAATGTCGGCCTAAATGCTCCTAATTTGGGCCCATGCACAAATACAGCAATCGACTAAATTTCCAAAAGCGACCAAAAATATCCATTAGTACCGTCAGAATGACGCGTTCATCTAGATAAAATTGATAAATAGCAGATTTTTAGCGATGGACCCAATCTTAGATCCATAGGCCAACATTAGAGCCATTTCCCCTATTCATCACAATATCGATCAGAAGCTTGCTGAACAACAAATTTTTAAAATTTTATTTGACCAGTTGAATACAAATGATAGTTCAAAAATACAAGTATACGGTGGTTTCGCAATGCCGAGTTTCAAAATTGTTTGAAACTACTCGACAGTTCTAAAATTTGCGCAGTTTTCAACGGTGTTTGGTATTCATCCCTTCATATGTGTGCGTGTGCAAATTTTGTTTGCTTCGGTGATTCGTAATCCAGTATCAGGTAACGAGTTCGAACCACAAGAACGATTCTACTGACGAAACATGTAAAGAAAGTATGATTATTTATGGAGATCGCTGATCACCTGATGGTCTTTAAAGCAATTTCTGAGTAACCTGGTATTGTGAGTGAATATCTGAGAGACGTGATTTTAATTGTTGGGCAGTTGAAGATCTTCAGAATTATACTAAATCAACCTGAAGACAGTAGTTTTTGGAGATCTATGATTACCTGAAGATCTTTGGAATATTTTTTGATTCACCTGGTATCATGAGAGAATATCTGGGAGGTGTGATTTGAATTGTTGTTCTATAGTTTGAGATCTTCATCAGAATAGTACCTGATCAATCTTCATTCTGCATTGCTTTATTTAACGTCGATCTCTGTTCTGCAGTCTAGTGCAAATCACCGACGGACATCAATAGCCATCCATTGACAGCAACCGAATGTGCAGGAAGGCAGCTTCCACACCTGCGTAGAATATCGCACCCATTCAAACACACATGGGCCGGGACCAACAGCTTTACTTCCCTTCCGAAGGAAGACGTGACCAGAGATTTTTATGAATCAGACCTATTGGGGTGAGAAAGCGGTCACGCTCACCACTGAACCACTGGCGCCGGCTTTCCTAATCAACCTGAAGTCTTGAAAAAGTATCCAGAGGACTTTATAGACATCTAAAAAAACGCATGGAATAATTTATTAGTTGTCTGGTATCATATGAGAGGATATCTGAGAGATTTGATTTAGATTGTTGGATAAATTTCAGAATGATACCTGGTCAACCCGAAGGTTAAAAAAAAATAGCTAAAAGACTTCATGGAGAGCTTAGAACACATGTAGATCATTGCAATAATTTCTGAGCAGCCTGGTATCATATGGGAGAATGAAATTCAGTGAAGAACCATGGATTTCCATGAAGATCTATAATATACTATGAAATTCTTAGAACTACCTACTAGATTTTCCCCGATCTTTTATGAAATACCTTTCACTACTTTGAAATTACCTAAGTGGCGTCGCGTAACCTCACTTTTTACCTGTTCAACAACTTTGAAAACGTTATTTAGGGTCATGTTTACATTCAAATCAGTTTCAAAGGGCATAGGGTCTTCTAGTTTCACTGATTTGTATCCATTATAACCAATATTGTTTTGTTTGTTTACGTTTTGAAAGTTGTTGAACAGGTAGATTGAGGTTCGGGCGACGCCACGCTAAACTTCAATTATACACTTCCCTGGGCATAGAGTATCATTGTGCTTGCCACACAATATACAAATAATTCATGCATTGGTATTGGCATCGAAAGCTCTCAATTAATAACTGTGGAAGTGCATTTAGAACACTAAGTTGAGAGCACACAATAAGCTAATATGCGCTAAGCAATAAGCTTGCAATGCGAACAAGAAGAATAAGAAGTTCTACCAGCAATTTCACAAAACTGGACCAACGAATTTCTATTTTTTTTAAATGAAACGCACAAATGTTGGCTACTTTTCTCGTGGTTCTTGAAGAAAAAGTCTCAAAATAATGTTTTATTTCAAAGAAATTTGAAACAGATTTCCATTCTTGTTTTAAACCCGCTGAGAAATAAAACCGAATAATCGAGCAGTTGCAAATGTGGTGCAAAATAGTGCTCGAAAAATTAATTTGCAACTCAGCGTGGCAAGGGGTGCGTTTCTGTTCTAGTTTCAAATTGAAACAGTCTATATAAAATACAAGAGCATTGCGAGCGTCCTAACAAATTTTTTTTTTTCATTTTCTCTGATAATATATTCAACTGATAATTTTCTCCTGGTTTCCACTGCGACATTATCGCTGCATCCGATGACCATATACCGATGTAGTTTTTCAATCAAGCGTGCCAGCCATTAGGTCTCGTAATCGCATATTCACCCTATCGTACTATCAAACACATAGTAAATACGACTTTTCTATGATTCAACACTTTCACTGCATTTTCGTTCGTGTCAAGAAAACGGATAGCGAATGCCACATGACCCCGGTCCTTTCGCTTGCATGCAAGCGCCGATATATATATGTATGCTTATAAAAATTAAAAATTCGTTCATAAAACACATTCCGTCTCCGGGTTGGCAACCAAATAATAGACAAACCAGCAACGATGTGTAGCTCGAAATAAACAACCCAAGGTCGGAGTACTTCCAACGATACACAAAGCAAGCAGTTTAAGGACCGATAGCGGTCCCATTTCCAGTAGCTAACCTTTCCCCGCTGGCTCGGTAATAATAGTCAGCTTATACTATGAATGGAAAAGCTTCGGGGCAAACAACGAAATTTTGGAAGGTAGAGTGCAAAAGCACAATTCAAAAGCAGCCACCAACCGCATCGTCAGTAACGAGGAGTAACGGAGAGCAACAACAACATCGAAATGTTTAAGGTTGAATGAATGTTTCGAATCGTTTACTTGCTCTCACCGGTCGTCGGCGGTAACCTTCAACTCCCGAGCCAGCCCAGCAGCAACCGCATAAACTAAACAATTTTCGGGTTGGTTGGTCATTGAGGTCGACCTTTCCACGGTGAAAGAGAGACCAACCAACTAAAATGCAACACAGGATGATGATTGCAACAGCGAGCTGCCGCTCAGGATGGTACTTACAATTTGTAGGTCCTTCGTCGAATCCTAGCCATCACCTTCTGCTCGTAGGATTTGTATTTCACCTTTCGGGACTTTTTCTTCTCTTGCAGCACTACGTCTTCATCACTTTCATCTTCCACACTTATTTGTCCCATCGAAACCAAAGGCTTTCTTCCACCTTCTCTGCCATCTAACTCAATCACTTCTTCCACTTCGCCATCATCATCTTCATCTTCCTCCGGTTCGTCTATATATTCATCGTTATCGTAAATTTCCTCTTCTTCCGAGTAATCGTCTCTCTTCCGCTTACCACTCAGGACACTCCTTGGCACCACAACACTTGGCTGGTCATCGTCTTCACTGTAATCGTCCTCATCGGAACTGACATCCATCTTGTCGTCCTCCCCGGATTCCTGATCGTCTATCGCATTCATCTCATCGATTGCACCCTGAATGACTTGACTCACATCCTTATCGTCGCTATCCGGATCCTCAAAGTAGTCATCTTCATCGTCCTCTTCAAAATCGTCCTCCTCGTCGTCATATCGGGCAGCCGCAACAGCGATAGCGACCTCTTCCGCGTCGTATCCATCCTCATCATCATCGTCGTCATCGTCCAACTCGACGGTTTCGATTTCGGGACTTTTGATCGTCGATAGTTGCCTGATCGTTGTCGACGACACCGACGACGGCCCCGGCCGGGGCTTGGCAACGGAACTGGGCGTTGCCGGTTTGTTCGGAGATTTTTCTGGCGAGTCTTCGATTTCGTAGGATTTGGCTACCCCGAGGGAGGGTAGATATTCGGAGGGGGACGTTTTCAGGACGCTGCTGGAGGACACAGAAGTCAAGGTCGCATCCGAAAGCGAGTCTTTGGCGGGTTCGGTGGCCTGCAGGGGTAAGAAGAAGACGTTTATGTGACAGGCGCTTTTGGGGCAGGAATATAATAATGTTGATAGAAAAATTTCCAATATTTCGGTTGAAAGATAGTGGCGCATCATTGGAACTGATTCGGAGAATGAGTCACTTTTAATCATTCGGATGGATTCATTTCTAAAACAAACGTAGGTCTCTCAGCGCATGAGTTTCCTACGCTTTTACAAATTAAATTGCTTCATACGAATGAGTAAAAGTGACTTACTCTCTGAGTTGGTTTTGTATTCAGTGTAGGTAGGGAAATATCTGTAATGATGGTCTTAAAAACATGTGATTTATAGGTATGTAAACTTTAATCCTAAGGAAGTTGACAACAACCAAAGAAGGAAGGACACAACAACAGTACTGTCAATATACGCCTAAATGTCCCACGACCCATAAGGATTGCATGTAACATTGAACAGTTCTAGATAGAGCTGGAATGAGGGCGTAACAGCTTTTTAAACAATGACTTCACACGATGATTGCTCGAATACCTCTCCCTGGCAAATCGACATCACTATCGAGTAGAGGAGGACTTCTCCTACCCGATGGATATGTTGGTATGTGTTGGCGTGCCTTGCATTCCTAAAAATCAACGAGAGAAGTCATTGTTTACAAAGGCTGTTACGCCCTAATTCTAGCTCTATGTAGATTTTAGATCATTCGTGACTTATGCGGGGTGAGATTTGAACTGAAATCGTTCAGGCCCGTATTCAATTAAATACTAGGAATACAAAATCAGTAATCAAATTAATTTCATTGAAAGCCGAAACCATTCGGATTGATCCAACAATGTGAAATGCAGCTCTCATGTTTTCTGTGTTAACTGTTAAGTCAACTAAAATGAGATCAACTGGAATACTCAAAATAAGTTGCATCGTAATAGCAATATATAAATATAATAGCATAGTTTGTGATGTGAAAACAGTGAAAAAATTATCTAACCGAACATCTTGTAGTGTTTACTGTTTTGTTATAAGGCTGTCCACGTGACAGTTGCGATCAGCTGACTTTTTTGTTTACCAAGAACTTTTGACCGATCACAGTAGAACTGGCAGTTTATTCTCAAATGATTTTTTTCCTTTGTGATTGTCTTTACAGACGGCTAAGTCCATAGTTTGGTCCATCTCGCCTCGGTGTTGTCGAAGTAGCATTGTTGCCAGTTGGAATGTTTTTAATTTAAATTTGTATTTTGCAGAGTTTGATGAATTTTGCTATTTTTTTATTTCTTTTAGTATGTATTCCAGAGACTTACAATATTCCAACGCCGGAAAATTGCAGCGAATGTTATTGTATTTGTGACACATATAAAGCAAGTGATTCAGATCTTTTTTTGCTGCCTTGAGGAAGCCTGAGTTGTTTGAAAAATATTCCGATTGATCAGACCCGATTTTCACACAAAGCTCTCAATTGGTAAGATACGATTCAAACCAACAAGTGAGTCCATGAGAAACACCAAGCTTCTCGAGTTTGGCAATTAGAATGGCATGATCAACCCGGTCGAAAGCAGCCTTGAGATCCGTGTATACGACGTCCACCTGTACCCCTGCCTCCATATTCCGTATGCATAGGGAAAAGAAAGGAGCGAGGTTTGTTGAGACCGAACGTTTGGGGTGAAAACCATGTTGATCAGGAGAAATGTAGTTTCTACAGCTGGTAAATAAAGCGTCGTTGATGATTATCTCGAATACTTTCGAGCAGGCACAAAGTGAAGTAATTCCTCGGTAATTCTCCACATTTTGTTTGTCTACTTTCTTGAAAATCGGGCACATGAACGAAGATTTCCAACGAGAGGGAAATACACCTTGTTGTAACGAAATATTGAACAGCTTTGAAAGCGGAGAGGAAAGCTCTGTTGAGCATTTTTTGAGTATGGACGATGGAATGCCGTCAGGCCCAACATCGTTCGAGAAATGCAGCTTCTGGATGGCAGAGTCGACGAGGTCCAATGTGACCGTGAAAATATCAAAGCTGAACGCGTCACTGGGAGTATCTCTGATCCCTTCCGCAACTTGGCTTAACGATGCAGTTGAATCGTTGAAAACACTCTTGAAATGCTCAGCCAGGAGGTTACATTTCTCTAAAGAAGTGTTGGCTCTTTTATCGCCTTTTTGTCTTCACAAACGTCCCGAATAGCTTAGGATTACGCCGGAGATTGGTCTGCATACGTCTTGAGTACTTCTTGTATAGAAAACGGTTGTACATTCGGTAGCAATTACTTGCTAACGAAAATAATCGCTTGGTGAATGGATTACGGGACTGGCTGTATTTTCGAAGAGCCTTCGATCTCACACGCTTCAAGTGTTGTAGTCGTGCATTTGACCATGCAGGTTTTGGAGCAGGTCTCCTCAGAGGCACACAATCCATTATTAATCGGCTAACAACTTCGTCGAAATAGTTAACGGCTTCATCAATGGACGAACACAAGTCAAGCGACTGCCAATCTACCTGGGCCAGTGAGTGATTCAATGCGACGTAGTCAGTTCTACGAAAGTCCAGGCTTTGTACATCAACGATGTTTTCATAGAGAACAGGAACTGATCGATTTTTGAATGCTTCCAACGCTGGATGATCGGCGTCTAGATGTATCAGAGGCTCGTATGCCTCAGCGACACTGCACTCTAGTGCGGCGGCTTCCTTCACCAACACAAGATCAAGCAGCCGAGAGTTTCTGTTTGGTACAGAATTAATTTGCATTAAGCCATGCAGGCTAAAACCATCCAAAAGAGCACAGCAGGAAGCAGGCATGTACGACCGAAGAATGTCAATGGTTGGATGATCATTCGCGGAAATATTCCAAACAAGCCCAGACTGGTTATAGTCGCCAAATAGCAGAGCTAGATCGTTGTGATATAATCGGGACAATACAGCACCAATGGAACTGATATGGTTCTCAGCGCAGCTCAAATTAGATTTACGGTCAGGAAGAAGGTACATAACGCCGATGCTTATCGTGTTGTGTGACGTCGTAATATTCACCCATAACTGCTCAAGAGAAGTACTAACCGGAGCAGGATCGAGGCAACAGTTCAGTCGTTTGGAAACTGCAATCAAGACGCCACCACCGCGTGATTTGGCACTGTTCTTCCGGTTACGGTCATTACGAAAAATTGAGAACCTACTGCCAAATAATTGTGCTGAGTGAATTCGATCATCTAGCCAGGTCTCGGTAAGAACTATTGCATCGTAGTTGGACTCAACAGCAGTCAAGAATAAGTCGTCAATTTTAGTTCGCAAGCCACGAACATTTTGATAATACACCACAAGTCCATCGGATAACATAGGTTGGCAATCGGAAAGGCAAGGTTCAGTCGGTGGTGAAGAAGACGTTGCGCTGAAACGTGGAGGCTGATCAGGCGAGGAATTGGTTTCAATAAACGCATACTTGCCTGAAATCGAAGGTTGGAAGTGCCCTTCACCGTTCTCAACCACAGGGCCAGAACGACTACGATGGCAGGAATCAGTACACACGACTGCGTTGAGAGGCTTAGGGGCTTCCATGGGGCGGTAGGCAATGCGTTCTGGGCTGACAGTTTCAGAAACGTGGCAGCTATGATTCGGTGCAGTATGTTCAGAATCGGTGTTATAAAGGAAGCCGTCATCGGTGGACTGCAGACCGTGATGTTCAGGATTGAAATAAGCAACATTGGAAATGCAAGACGTGCTGTAACTTGAAGGCATATCAGGCGAAGAATTGTCTTGATCACATTTGTACTTGCCTGTTGAAGCAAGCTGGGAGACCCCTGATCCACATCTAGTCACAGGACCGGGACGACTGTGATGAACGCTGGCAGGGTGATGTTTAAAGAGCTGCTTCTTCCAAACTGTGGTCTTAGTTGGCATGCAATGTCATTATCCTTAGGGTGAATTTGCATTACCACGTCAACATGCTTGATCGCTATTTGCGTGATGTAGGAACCGTTGTGCTGTTCACTGGAAATTGTGTTTTGGATGAACCTCGCTAGCTGGTTTTGATGATACACACTCTTGATAATTTCTCGTTTAGCCAGCCATTCGCTTCTAGCCTTCATCGGTACCTGACCAGTCTCCGAGAGCAAGACGTGAATTGGTGTTGATTTGAGATATCCCATGGCCGTTCTCAACATGCTATTTGGGATCGTTTGGATTTTTCAGAGATTCGTATCTACTGCGCTTCCATAGATCGATGCACCCTACTCCAATCGGCTTCTTATCAAGGCATTACCGATCATGACTAGTGTAGTTGGATTCGAGCCGCTATTCCTTCCTGCGAGGATTTTTAGAAGTGGAAGCCTCTTGCTGGCTTTTTCTTTAACTGCCTCTATGTGTTTTCGATGGCGCAGTTCCCTGTCTAAGGTGAAGCCCAAATAGACGTGTGTATTCACCAGTTCTATATTTACTCCTTGGATCCTAATTTTGATGTGTTCCGTGTTGTTCCTTGTGAATGGGATTATCGCCGTTTTTGCTTGGTTGATTTTCAGCCCTATCGCCTCAAGTCTACTCGTAACAGTTCTCAATATCACGTTCATCTTCTCCGCCGCTTCTTCCAACGATCGGCCCATTACTATGAGTGAGAAATCATCTGCGAACTGCACGAGTTCGCAATCCTCGTTGTTTACTTCATGTATCGCAGCTGTGCAGAGGTTGAACAGAACGGGAGAAAGCGGGTACCCTTGGGTTAATCCGTCATTCACAACTTTCGTTTCAAGTAACAGTGCAGCCATGATATCAGTTTCCCAGGAATTCCTTGATCCCTTAGTGTTACCAGCAGTTGACTCGTGTTAACGCAATCGAATGCCTTAGATACATCTAGAAATGCAACCAAGCACTCCAGGTTTTTAGCCTTCACTTCATGAATGGTGTTCACAACATAGTTGACACACCACCAAAACAAACCAAAAGATCTCATCGGAATGAGATCGTTTATTTCTGCAACTTGCGATATTCTGTTTTTTTAACACTGAGTTGATCGGTTCCAGGCTTCGGGATGGGT